TATGGCTCGTAAACATTTAAGACGAATATGTCGAATGCGGCTTTCTGAATGTACCTTATGAGATAGAGACATGTAATCAGAAAAGCCACAGCAAGCGGCAGATTTTATATTTACACCTAGATGCTGCTCGGGTCTTGATGATGATATCTGGTACGATGCCATGTATGATGTTTAACCAAGGTTCAAAACATTGTGAACCAGATTTGTTTTTTAAACCAAGCAACTCGTAACGATTCTAGATTTAAAGCTTTCGTGACTGCAAGGATCCATACTCTTTGGTTCTATCCGGTAAAGTCACATAGGTAAAACATAAAACAACAAAAATCAAGACGTTTCGGCCACAACACAAGCGGCCTTCATCAGGTGAAGGGATCAGGCTGTCTCGAGGACAGCGCTGGAGTGAAACAAAGTGCGGTACTGCACACAAAGTAAAAAGTTACCGGATGCTGGGGGACTCAGCACAGCACAACAAGTCTCATGCCACTCGTGCTAAGCAATTTGTATTCAAGATTTTTTTTAAATCACTGACACCAGCGTGTACGTACACGCAACAACACGATTACATGCTTCTCAAGGTTGACACACACACACAACTCGGGCGATTCTCTCGGGGTCGCTAGCTCAGGATTGGGATGTGTATACCGGAGGATTACCTCATTATCCCCGTGTCTAATTATGGAGCATTACTCACGCAGCACGCCGCTAGCGTGTCTCCACAGCTGCAGGCAGGGAGATGATACGTGAGTTTGGGTGGGTGGAGGGGTGAGTGGGATGAATGATTGAGTGGTCGTTGACAGAGTAAATGATTGGGGTGGATGCGTCGGTGAGTACGTGGGTGGATGAGTGAGCCGTTGAGTGATTTGGTGGGTCGGTAAGTGGGTGGATGAGTGAGTGGCTGAGTGAGTAAGATTAGTGAGTTGGTGGGTGGGTAAGTGTGTGGTTCAGCGAGTGAGTGGGGTCAGTGAGTGAATGGAATGTGTAAGTAGGTGGCTGAGTGGGTGATTGGATTAGCAAGTGAGTAGATGAGTGAATAGGTAAATTATTAGGTCTATTATTGGTTAAGTGACTTCTCATGAAGGCTGCGTAGGTGAGATAGTGTGTAAACAAGTGGGTGAGGGAGTGGGTGAATTAGTGAGTAGATGGATGAGTGAGTTTGTCATTTAGGTGAGTTGGTGAGTAAATAAGTGAGGTGGATGTGTGACGTGTAAATAAGTGAGTTGGTGGGTGAGTTGGTCAAGTTTATTTGTTTAACCAGATGATAACTCAAGAGACCAATATAGCCTCAATTTGAATAGTGACTTCAGTGTAAGGGTGGGCGAATGAGTGAGGTAGGTGTGTGGGTGTGTGAGTGAGTGTGTGGTTCAGTGAGTGAATGGAGTGCGTAAGAAAGGAGGTGGGTGAGTGATTGGATTAGTAAATAGTTGGACGAATGGATGAGAGTGGATGAGTAAGTGATTTGGTGGGTGGGTGAGTAACCTTGTTGGATAAGTGAATGGTTGAGTGAATGGTTGAGTGAGTGTGTGAATGAGCGGTCGGGTGGATGAGTGAGCGAGTAAGCAAGACCTCTCATACGTATGTATGTTGAACTTCATTCGCACCGTACGTAGTCAACCGTGCTAATCGGATCGTGAGCAGGACATGCTTCCTGCACCGTGGCTCACATCACTCGTCTTCCATACGCTCCTGCACCTCCCGCCACAGGAAGTCGGCTCACCCTATAACCCCATGGCCTTTATCTACATCCCGTCACGCACGTGGCCACGCATGGGATGTACCGGTATGATTCGTTTTGGTTGCGAAGCGCAAATGACCCGGGCAGTGTGCAAATGAAGGGGGCACGGAGGGGGGAAGGTGAGCGGTGCGACGCGATGGGATGGTGCGTGGCGTGCGCGGGGAGACTGGTGGCGTGGCGAGGGCTGGTGGGGTAGGAGGTGGGGGAGTGAAAGAGCAGCAGCAGCAGCTGCCCCTTCCCAAATCCCAATTCCACTTCAGCTGCGCGTGGCCGTCAGCGGCTGACATCTGCCGAGGGACGCTCTGACGACGATTTGCTCGGTAGCCATGAAGATCCCAAGCAAGCTATAGGGCGGCATCGATAGAGTTTCATCTGCACGCCTGTGATGGCCATTAAACTCGACGTGTACCGAAAGAACCAAAGAGTATGGGTTTGTACCTGTAAAGTGACGTAGGTAGAAAAATAAAATAAAAAAATAAGAAATCACGACGTTTCGATCGCAACACAAGTGGTCGTCCTCAGGCGGAAAAAAATAGAATCCAGCAGTGGACGTGCTGAACCAGCTATAAAAACACAGAGACAATTTTTTTTTAAATCAAGATATACAAACCCCTTTGTCGAGCCTGGATGAAGGCTTACCCACGCCGTGCGGGTCGCAGGCATTATATTGACCCAAGCTTCTCCAGCCTGGTCAGTGAGGGCTGGTGAAGGCGGTGTGTTGTGACTTCAGAACGTCGAGTGTGCAACGCAAGTGCAAGGGATTGTATCCGCTGCTCCCTGTTGTCGATCGCGTAGCTCCAAAGCAATATATAACACCTCATATGCATTGTGGTCGCCCATCCAAAAAAACTATCCAGGCTCAACCTTGTGGAGCTTCCGAGATCCGACGAGGTGGGGGCCCAAATTATATATTGAAATGCAACGTGAGTTACGTGACACGCTAGCTACAACTAAATGACCACGTGATTTTAACAACGAAACACGAGTGCGCCTACAAAAATAGCATTCGTGTTTCGGCATGAAGATTGAAATCATCACCATTATCGTCTTCATCGTCTGCCATGGCCTATCCACTGCTAGATGAAGGCCACCTCACGCCGTCGCCAAACTTCACGGCCATACGATGCCACAATCCATCTCACTGTTGTTGTGCCCGAACCGGTTTCATCGCTAAAGCTTCACGGTGTTCGTCTCGAGTCTGTGTTCCCTTCTTGGGCTGACATTCCTTCCCCAGGATCGCCCATCACCCCCATCACCATAGTGTGCGAGTACAAGTAGAACCCCTCTTAACGACGGTAATTGGTTCCACGAAACTGGTCGTAAAGCGATTTGGACGTTAAGCGAGTATAGGAGATACACGTTAAAGGCTATATTCGTTCCTATAGCATTGAAAGTTGCCCTTTTTCACTCAAAAAAGTAATTTAAAATAATTAGGCAATGGACATTAATACATAAAGATACTAATAACATTATATACACATAATATTGAAAGAAACATAGTTCATAAATACGTTAATTAATTTCCACTGTACCTACAACAGCCCGTCGTTAACAGGGGAATGTTGTGTAATCCCAGTTGGGTAAAACCTCTCTTAAGTTTACCCTTGCTCATTGATCCAAGTGAACTATATGCATTCTCTTCAACTCGTGTTCCATTTTTAAGTACGCGTGTTTCTGATCCATGTCATAGGGGCCGTCCATAAATGACGTCACGCGATTTTTGACTATTTTTTACCCCCCTCAAACATGACGTCACAAAGCTCTGCCCCCCCCCCCCAAAAAAAAATAATGCTTCTAATCGCTTTAAACTATTGTCATTGTAGTACGTATTTAATGTGGCGCTGCACTCTGATGTTGTAGGAGAAAACATTTATTAAAAAGCCTATTTAATTAAGTGGAACGTATTGTCTATATTTATTGAAAGTTGCGCATTTTGATGTGGCGTCACATTTCTCAAACCCCCCCCCCTCGTCACAAATGTCTGACCCCCCCCCCAGATGCGTGACGTCATTTATGGACGGCCCCATAGCTGTAAAGAGGTACTAATTGAAAACATTCTTCAGGCACATTTCCACGATCAAATTAAGTTTTCCAAAAGAGCTCTGTCCTGCACTCACATTCCACCCGTTAGATCCCGATCCTTAAAGTTGCTTCCTTACAGCAATTATTGGATGTTATTTAGCAATCGAGTTGTTGCGCACTTCTTTAGTTTTGCTTATAAGTTTCTTCAGTCAAACGTCGCATCCTTGTTGGCGAAGTTATTCCATTACACTCTTCATATACATTTCATTTGAGAAAATAAAAGCACGCGCGACTATATTTTGTTTTTGCAGATCCTCGAAAGTAAGGTCAAGGTGAAGGCGCAGCCCTGCAATTGCCTGCTCTGCCACTGCCGGCAGAAGGGCCTTCATTCGACGCAGCTCGAGCGAGTCCCTCTAGAGTAAGTGAATTAATAATTGGTGGTCATTCAGAATCGGCTATTGTACACGTTAAGGGATTTTTTTGTTACATTTTACAAGGAATATTTCACGGCAGCAGACGCATCAAATGCAATTGCCCAGCACCCGAGCGGTGGTGGCTATGCACGCCTGTAATCCAGGAGGCGAGGATTGGTGGATCACGCAAATGTCGCGAAACTCCCTTCCCGTGGGCGTCGAGGTGCCATAACCCTGGTTTGCCAGGAGAAGGCAGCACAGCAAATGTGGAACTTGCCTGTTCCGTCTGTATGAGATCGAATTTCGCCCCCCTCGCACGCTTCGGGTTTCTCCGGGTCCTCCAATTTCCACCTTCATATCAACACTAATTAATTTGCCGATAATAGGACTGAACATCTTTGGTAATTGTTGGCACCGGCTGACCGCGTGGTTGTTGTTCCTCACGCCTCTGAGTCGTGGTGAATGGCGAAGATTGTATTGTGCCAAGCGTTCACACGTCGCAAGCTAATTTAAAATGTATTACAACGTTCCATTTGATCTCTCGCCCGAAGCCACAATGCCTGCGTGACTGCATCATGCATCAAGGAACGAGGTCGAACCCCACAAAGGTTCCTTGGTTTCATATTTAACAGCAACAAAAAACTGCGCAAAAATGATGTGTCTGTCAGTTTCCTTTAAGGCCAACGCATCCCGTGCAATATTTGTGCGATTACAGCAGCTGCTTGATCATCATCACCGTGTGTGGCAACTTTGCAGCATCAGCACAACTTGCTTAAAATCAGCAAGCGTTTCTTTGCCCGGAGTGGAGTGAGCCATTCTGGAACCACACAATTCACGGAGGGGTGCCGGGGACGCGTCGATATGGAAGCGTTCACGAAGAGATGGAACTCAAATTCGATCCAGCGCGCACCGTTGCAACGCGCACGGTGACGAATGTACACGCGCTAAATTGAGATCAGCCTCCCCCCCCCGCCCCGCGTCAAATTGTGTGTAAGTTCATACACGGAGAGGTTGTGGTCCCAGCACCCTGCCTCATCACACCCTTGACACACGCGCACACACACACGCGCGCGCGCGGGGCACAGGCAGTGGTACATTCCGGCACGGGTGCTGCTGAGCCAGCCAGTGTGCTCGGCCAGCGAGTGTGAGCAGACGGGCAGATGCCTTATGGTTGCGTGTGCGCGTGCGGCCGTGGTGGTTGTGGTGGTGGCGGCCGTACAGCAGGGAGGACATCTCTCTTTGCAGGGAGGATGAACATATAATTCATCATTGCTGCAAGCGGAAGGATAGGACGCACACCATTGCGGTAAGTGCTGGCTGCATCGGAGCGACTTACCACGGGAGAGGAGAATGCATTAGTGTGTGCGTGTGTGTGTGATGCATGTGGAGGCAATGAGGCGTCGTTACAGCGAGAGACGGGGGTCTTGGGGGTGCGCGTTTGTGCACGCGGGCGCGCGGGCATTCGGGGTGAATTCTATACCGGCTAAGGGCGCGCGTAATTAGCTGCTGTATCATTGCATACTCGCATGTTGTTCATTGTCAGGTCGAGGCCAACGGTGTTACCATAGATGAGTAAGACGATGGCGGAAACCATTAATTAAGCGACCTGTATACCCGTTAAGATTAAATGACGCGGACAAGATCTTTAGCCACCCTGATATCTGATTGCTCATGTGGGAATGCTGAGTGAAATATCCAATGACGCCATTAACTACTGGATAGCCGTTCCTATATTCGTACACACAGCACGAGTGATGTTTAACAATAGGACAAAACCGTGCGGGTGTATGTTGGGAGGAATACAAATCACGAATTACAAAAAAATATTAATCTACATTTTCGTCAACAACTCACTGCTTGAAAAAGGGGGGGGGGGAGGGAATGTATAATGGGTGACGTTTCGGGCAGCGACTCTTTTTCATAGCACATCGATAATTATCTGGAATGGGGCTGTTAGTACGCGCGCGCGCACACATCAGCCTGCCAGGTCAAATTTCCACGAAAACAATGTACCCTTCCCGGAGCTAATGCCACGGCCAGAGATGCTTGTGAATATGAATTGATCGAGACTCGCGGACACAAGGAGGCCGTTTCAAAAGCCTCCTCCTCCTCATTTTCCATCGCGTCGGCATCAATTCGGTAGCGCGTGATGCGAGGGCACCGACAATGCTGAGCGCTTGTTGATGTGAGCGAGCCTCCTGGAATATCAACAACAACAGCAGCGGCGGCGGCAGCGGCAGCAACACGCGCGGAATGCCATGATGGAATCCTTGTGTTTAACAACCAGCTCGCGCATGTGTGTGTGTGGCCTACACCAGACGTACGGGAAAGACGTACATTACAGGTGTGCCAGCGCATGCTGTGGTGCCCACAGGGCGCACACACAGACACACACCTCATGACGCGTCCTGTTAAGAGGGCGCATGAACACGTAGTTTGGCTTTCCCCGACCAGGATAATGATTCACATTTGCTTATTTTGATGTTGCGGGTGAATTATGGCGTACGACACACTTTGTCATTATATTCCCGCGACATGACCCGACATATAAATTAATTAAAGGCGCTTTAAGTTACCACTGCAGTTGTATTGAGACCCAATTACAAGTACTACATTCGTTTTGTCGATCCACTGCTGGATGAGGGCTACCACATGCCGTGTCGATCATGGGGGTTGTATGTCCATACGTGTTCACTGGCCGGTGATTAATTTTCACTTTGCATGGGTTGAAAATCGCATAATTGGAAGACGTACTGATCAAACACGCGCATGCATACATACGCCCTCATGCCACTGTCGACGCATACACACAGGGTTGGGGATCTTAATAGGAGCCGTTGACCGTGTGAATGCTGTGGTCAAATGCTGACCGTGTCACTGCTATGGCTAGGCTATGCATACGGCGTATTGTATGTGTGGAAACACGCACATGCGCGAATATGTACACTCATACGTGCGTGCAATGCATGCATTACACCATTACATATGTGCATGTATACGCATGCACACTATAGTGCACATGTGATACAGACACACGCACACAACGTAATGCATATAATATCGTTCACACGGCCGTGCGTATGGCTGTGGGTGGGTATGGAGGGATTCTCCCGGCGTGATGCGTGATGTTTTCCCGGGGAAGACACGGGATAGGAGTGGGGGTGAGACCTGTCGGACGCGGGGTGGGCTGGGGTGAGAGAGAACTGTGAAGGGCAGCAGGAGAGCTGGGAAAGGAGACACAGAAGGAGGTGGGGAACCCGAGAGAACTGGGAGAGGCGATCAGGAGGGGGGGCTGCAAGGAACCCGGGTGGCTGTGGGATTGCTGATCCCGGCCTCTGCTTAGTATGCAGTGCGGCGTGAGCCGCGCACGACTGAGACACGGCCACGCGTGCACGCAGAGCGAGCGATGCATGCGTTTGTAATGTGCATGGCCCATACGTTGCATGTGTACGTGCACGCATATATATGTGTGCACTCACGTATAAGCAGATGTATAATTATACATATGGTAGTATGTAATACATAGTGTGTACATAATGCGCAACACACACAAATGCGCATGCATGCATCATTATTCAGGTATATATACAAACATGCATGCATTCCTTCACATACGCAAATAAGTGGTCACATGCGCATGCACATACATAGCTACTTACATATGTAACTGTGACACAGCTCACGTATACATATAACACATGTACATATAGGTACATTTACATGCATATATAAATGCATGCCTGTATCCCATACGAATATAATATATACATGTTCACTTGCACACGCATGCCCTTTAACATGTAGATTTAGCAAACCAATATACTTTTAGATTTGAAGCTTTCGTGACTGCAAGGATTCATACTCTTTGTTTTTTTTCGGTAAAGTCACGTAGGTATAATAAAATAAAATAAAACAATTAAATCACGACGTTTCGGAGGCAACACAAGCTTCCGTCTTCAGGTGGAACAGTCACAGCAAGATCGCTGCATCAAGTGGGGAGGCTCTGAGAGCCTCGAGCTTAAATACAGGTTAAGGGGGGGGGGGGGGGGGGGGAGCCAAGTAGGGGACATTGATGGGGTGCGGGGCTAAGTTAATCCGTCTTTTGTTATGTTGAGGGTGCGGGAGATGCGGTGGGTCACTGCACGGGGGCAATGGAAAAATGGAAACAAAAATGGAAGAGTTCGGAAAGAATATGCTGTGTGCTTACAAGGTAGCTAAAGTTTTGACTTGGTTTATGACATATTTCCAGTGGTTGCTTAATTTAAAACCATCCTCTCGGTTGAAGTTGTGTCTATGTTTGTATATCTGGATGGCTTCATGGACAAATCTTTGGTAATGACCGGGAGGCTTGCATAGTACCTTGATATCGGAGAAAACAATCTCATGAGAACCTGCTGTGTTGAAACAATGATCAGCTACGGCTGACGAATTCGTTCTGCCGTGTTTCAAATCTGATTTGTGCTCGCGAATTCGGTCAGAAATATGTCGTTTTGTCTCCCCGATATAGCAGTCACCGCAGATACAACTCAATTTGTAAACACCGGGGTACTGTAAGTCAGGGATGACATCCTTTACGGATGGGATCAGATCATGGATTTTGTGTACTGTATTGAATCGAGCCTGGATCTTGTGTTTGTTTAGAATTTTGGAAATCTTTTTGGTAACGCCTGCTATGTATGGCAGTGTGATGATTTTGATCGGAGTGTCAAGTGGTTGTTTCTGTATGGTGGGAGAAACAGCTTGGCAGATGATACGGTGAGAGTAACCGTTCATCTTGAGGGCTAGATGTACATGTTTTAATTCACTGGTCAGGTGGTGTTGGTCAGAAATGCAATGAGCTCTATGGTATAATGTTTTGATGAGATAATTATTTTGAGCCGGGTGGTGGTGGGAATCAGGCTTCAAGTATGAATCTGTGTGGGTGGACTTCCTGTAAACAGAATGTCCCAAGCAGCCATCAGTCCTCCTCTCAAACAGAACATCCAAGAATGGCAGCTTGCCATCTTTCTCCACTTCCATGGTGAATTTGATGGATGGGTGTCTGGAATTGATGTGGTCTAGGAAATGGTTCAAAGCTGGGAGGCCATGTGGACAAATGACGAAAGTGTCATCCACATATCTCTTCCACAGGGAAGGACTAAGGGTGGATGTCTGGATGGCGTCTGATTCAAATTTCTCCATGAAAACATTGGCTATCACTGGTGACAAGGGGGAACCCATAGGGGTACCCTCATTTTGTTTGTAGAAGGTGCCATTCCAAGTAAAGTAGGTGTTGGTGAGGCAGTGCCTAACCAGTGCAGGTACATTAAGCAACCACTGGAAAGATGTCATAAACCAAGTCAAAACTTTAGCTACCTTGTAAGCACACAGCATATTCTTTCCGAACTTTTCCATTTTTGTTTCCATTTTCATATTGCCCCCGTGCAGTGACCCACCGCATCCCCCGCACCCTCAACATAACAAAAGATCGGATTAACTTAGCCCCGCACTCCATCAATGTCCCCTACTTGGCTCCTCCCCCCCCCCCCCCCCTTAACCTGTATTTAAGCTCGAGGCTCTCAGAGCCTCCCCACTTGATGCAGCGATCTTGCTGTGAATGTTTCACCTGAAGACAGAAGCTTGTTTTGCCTCTGAAACGTCGTGATTTTATTGTTTTCTTGTATTTTATTTTACCTACGTGACTTTACCGAAAAAAAACAAAGAGTATGAAACCAATATACGTTTTATAATAAAAATTTCAGTCAGGCCATGTCATGCATTGTTATACACATGCATATATATAATACATCCATTCATATGCATTACACACATACAACACTCATGCATAGTATACACTCGGCGCCTGCAATAGTATACATAACTACATTTGCGTTTATAATTTGTATATCACGGTGTGTGTCATATCCCTGCCACGTAGCTTCCACATTGCTGGATGTACACGATACCGTACATTTCTTGAGTAAGCATATCTATTCAGGAGCTATAATTACTGCTTGACACGCGATTGTCAATTATCGATAATTAGCATGTAATTAAATCATGTTAGCAGTGAAACTCAATGTTACGCTTCGGAATGTCCAATCACAGTGACGTTATCTGAGAATAAAATGAACACATTTAATGAAAAGCATAATGGCCACGTGATCGATTGTGTATTGTAGCACGCATATGAAAAAACCCTGACTTGTGTGGATATATTTACCAACTTTAAAGCTTTGCTTCCACCAACTTTACCAGCACACTCCACGGGGGGAGGGATGACTTGGTTCACTAGTGATTGGGATCACGTTATTCGCAAGTGCTTAACACCAGACGTCAAGATGATGGTGAACTTCAGGCTGACCCTGCCCTATGAGTGAAACCAATCAACCTCCGGGCTGTAATTTCAACGAGACCAAAATCTAAAGTGTTGGATATCGTATTGTTTATAATTAGACGCGTTGACTGTGAACATTTTAAACTTTGTAGTCCTTCCAGAACACCATTAGGATTTACACCAATCACAATCGTGTATGTGTAATTGGTGTGTTATAATACAACTGTAATATAACAGTGTAATGTACAGCTCTTTCTCAATCCACTGCTGGATGAGGACCTCTCCATTCCGAGTCGGTGATGGGTGATTGTTTGACCATACTTCACCACGCTGACCAGTGGTAACGATGGGGGCAGGACCAGTTCAGAAATTATTAGGCACTCATGTCTCATGGTAGCCGTGGTGGGGAATCGAACTCAGGTGGCCGGGATTATCTGCCTCTGCTCCACCAATACAACGCACGATGCTTCTGTGAAGAATAAAAACACGACTGGATGCACATGCTGATTTGAAATCACCGTTGCAAAAAATAACAAGCGGCCAGAAACAAACAGCACTATTATTCATACCTACGTGATTTTACCGAAAGAACCAAAGAGTATGGATCCCTGCAGTCACGGAAACTTCAAATCTAGACTATTAAAGGTTTTAAAGATACAAGTTAATGGATATGTAAAGACGGGTGTGACTCCCAGCGTTCTGCATTTCCAACGACTTTGCGAGCCCCTTGCTATAAACACAGTCGCACATGTCACGATTAGGAAAGTTCTCAAACGTCCATGCCACCACCACCACTCAACCCCCTAACTCACTCACGCGGGGCAGCGAGGTCACGGCCCATCAGATGGCAGCTGCTTTGGTGACTAACAGACGGCCAATACAGACTACACAGAGCACTTTCCAGTCTGGCCACCCTACTAATCTTTTGCCAAAACCTTCCGCCCACCCATCCACCCACCCTCCCCGGCCCTTCTCCGCCAATTCCCCCATCTCACAGAAACACTTCAGCGGCTCTGGAAAATCCAAACAACTCCTCGTGAGGCGGCCGCGGTCACTGGAGATGAGAGGAAACTCAAAAAAGAGGGCACTGCAGTGAGCACTTTTAACGTTTTATTTATAGCCGGCGCGTCCACATTTTAGGCGTCCCTCCACGTCACATGCCCGGCTCGCTTCTCGGTGCATTTCGTGGAGAATTCGTATATTTTTTACGCATTCCAAACTAATGTTGAAAGCAGTTGTGCCATAGTTTCGTTATCTGTCCGTCCATAACGAAGGGGGGGGGGGGGGGGGGGGAGCAAGCCGAAACTGCACATCATCCTCACGTGGTTGTTAAATGAGTACCACTTCGTGGGGTAATCTTATGGATACGGGTCCCCCGCCATAGGAATGTGGAATTCCCATTAGGCCCACCAATGTAGATGAATGCTGTCCCTCCCTTGGCTGCCCCTGTTATTAGTCTCGACTAGCAGCGTCCCTTCCAGACGAAAGTGTCGTCCTGCCTAAGAGTCGAAGTGAAGCCTCTAACTTGCTGATGATCTCTTATCCACGTGTTCGTTTTTTCTCTCTGCGACGCAATGTAATTATTTTGAGTGCATATCTCTCCACGCTTCTATGCACACTTTTAAGCTTTTGTTACACTTTCTTTCTCAATGCATTATGTACTGCAAGTAAAATATAAAGTTGTATACATTATCTGCTTCAGATTATTAAAATAAGATTGGACCGAATTAACCAACCGAGAAGAGTTTCCATTGAATTGCGGCTCATAATTAAATAAAGAAGCCTAATCTCAATAGGGTGACTTCCTTTGATCCATATAGTCTGCCAACTCTATACAAACCCTAGGAGATCTTTGAGCAAACCACGTCTTGATACATACACAAGAATGCAATACACTGCGTCTATGCCTATTGTAACAATTAATGGATTCAATATCAACCACAACCCAGCTTTAGTAAATGACGTAATGCAGTCGTTTCTCATTACAACTCCTTCATGGGAAGGCAATCAGACGCCCACATGGGACTAGACCCATGGGAGCACATGCCTTGGGGGTGCAATCAACGGGGGGAGGGGGTGGCATGGGCGGGGGGCTGATAGAATGATTCGATCAGTGTAGGAGCGGCAGTCAAACCTCACGGTGCCGCACAGGACGAGAGACGACGTGGGGATCAACGTGGGGATCAACGTGGGGAGGTGGTAGTGGTGGCAGTGGACTTCTTTTACCAGCAGCGGATTAGAGCGCGTGGACAAACTGCGACCATTCCCAGCACTCGTCACGAACGGCAGGGGCAGCCACGGGAGGGGCAGCATTCATCTACATCGGTGGCCCGATTGGGGAATTCCACATTTCCATGACGGGGACCCGTATGATAAAAAAAAATACCATTGATATCCCACGAAGTGGTACTCATTTAACAACCACGTGGTTGATGATGTGCAAAATCGGCTTGCCACCCGGGCCCCACCGCTCCCCCTCTCGACGGACAGACAGAAGAAGCCAATGCGCAACCGCTTCGATAATTCCCGACACTCGTCACGTGGCGCTCGTTCACACGACACGCGTGTTAAACAGCGTGCGTATCTCGTCTGCCTGTCGTAGTGGGAGGAGTGTCACCGGCTCTAAATTAAACACTGTTTTTTTATTTTACCAGGGAAATCCCACTGAGCTACATTACTATTTTTTCCACAAGCGACCTGGCCATCACAAATGATAGCTGAACGAATTGGCTTATTGCGTGGAAATGTATAGCAGCCAAATACTCTAAAGGCATTCTTCATTTGACGCTTTCGTGACTGCAGGAATCCACACTCTTTTGTTCTTTTGGTAAAGTCACGTGGTAGGTAGAAAAATAATAATAGATCACGACGTTTCGATCGCCACACAAGCAACCGTCTCGCACCTGAAGAACCAAAGAGTATACTCTAAAGTCATGTTTCTAAATATAGAGGGGAAAATCCACCGGACCACGGGGAGAACATTCAAACTCCAAATATACAGGCGCCAGGATCGTGATCAAACCCACGACCTCCTGCACACCACACGAGGGAGTTAACATCTCGCCACCGCGGCACGTCCAAAGTCAACGTGCACGCACGGTTTCGCAAAAATAGGCGGCACACAAAGAGCGAAGAATCTGACTCGCGAGGGAGACGGAGGGGGGGTGAGAGTTCGTGCTTGCCGAGAGGGGGAGACGGAGGGAGGACGCCCGGTGGCCACTGACAACGTCCTGCAGTTTTGTTTGAAGTCGGTGGGAAGTGAAACAGTCTCGGCCGTTTCCATGACGGCCCTGGGGGCACAAGAATGCACCCAGCATGGGTCATGACTCACCCCGGCCCTCCTTTCCTCCGATGCCCGTAGCGATGCAAGGGTAGAAGTGTGTGTGTGTGGGGGGGGGGTTATCGTCCCATTCTTATGATATCGCGCGGGCCACTGAGACGCTCTCGCCCATTCCCAACCCATACCCCCACGGTGTAACAAAGAGAACAAACTGTGGCTCAGACAACGCGGGCGGTGGTGGTGGTGGTGGGGCCTTGTGGAACGCCGGGGTCAATGGCGAGGGTGTCAGACGGAGGATACCTTCAACGACAGCGTGTGTCGGTTTTTTGAGAGCTCGAAATCCAAGCTGGCAGACAAAGAGCCGACTCGATACGATCGCAACCCAAACTCCGATAACACTATGTAACACAATTTTTGTTCCTGGGTAGTAAGTGTTATTTCGTAATTTTCTTATGCCTCAAAGGTACAGGAAATGGCTAGTATTCCCCACAAACTTTGCTTTTGTGACCAGGACAGTGATATTTTGAAATTTACCTATTTTCAATGAGAAAACGGGCGAATTTTTTTTGTATTTTCGTTCACATAACGTCAGAGAATAACAACAAATGAATCAAAATTAACACATTTATACTAAAGTAATACAAGAATGACGAAAAAAGATTTAGAAATGAGTACTTTTTCGAGATTGTTCCTCCCCACAGAGAACTCGGTCCACTATGGCCAGTCCCGCTTGTGGTAGTGCGCCTTGGTTTCTAAATCTTTTGTAGTAATTTTTGTATTACTTTAGTATAAATAAATGTTCATTTTCATTCATGTGTTGTTTTTTTCTGACTTTATGTGAACGAAAAGACACAAATTCGCCCGTTTTCTCATTGAATGTAGGTAAATTTCTAAATATCACTGTCCTGGTCACAAAAGCAAAGTTTGTGGGGAATAATAGCCATTTTCTGTACTTTTGAGACATACGCAATTAGGAAATAACACTTTACTACCCAGGAACAAAAAAAAATGGTTACACAGTGTAATAACTCGAGCTATAATCGCGCACTGTGGTCCTAATTCCCCGTGTGTGCAAATCATCACACGTTATTAAAACTGGCGTGTGTCTGTATTGTCTTTGGCAACGTAATGGATTTTTACCCCCTCCCTCCCCATGCAAGGACACAGAAATATTCATACGAAGCGGTTGTAGTTTTTTTCTCTCTCACATAGTTTCTGGTTGTTATGGTCGTAATCCCCATCGCTTGGGATGTAATACATTGTGGACGCTCGTATGTTTTTTTTTACAATCCCACACACAACCCCATCCACACACAGTACACAGCGTTTATGGGGATTTTGTTGCGTACGTACAAACCCATCACAGCTATTGTGACCAAGTATCTATTTTTGTAAGAGATCCAAATCTTTGCGGGATACAAACCCAAGTTATATATAAACCTTTAACTAAATAAAGCACATACAACTCATTTTTGATATAAATTTGGATTACTTATGGTCAAGTGGTAAGCGCACTGCACTGTTAACCTGGGTTCCTGAGTTTCATTCCGGGCCACTGTCCCCTACAGTGCCGGATTATCCCAGTAGCAAAAGTAGCTACACATGTAGTAGTAGCTCCATATGTAGTAGTAGCTACACATGTAGTAGTAGCTACACATGTAGTAGCTACACATGTAGTAGTAGCTACACATGTAGTAGTAGCTACACATGTACTAGCTACATATGTAGTAGTAGCTACACATGTAGCAGCTACATATGTAGTAGTAGCTACACATGTAGTAGTAGCTACATATGTAGTAGCTACACATGTAGTAGTAGCTACACATGTAGTAATTACATATGTAGTAGTAGCTACACATGTAGTAGCTACATATGTAGTAGTAGCTACACATGTAGTAGCTATATATGTAGTAGCTACACATGTAGTAGTAGCTACATATGTAGTAGTAGTAGCTACACATGTAGTAGCTACATATGTAGAAGTAGCTACACATGTAGTAGCTACATATGTAGTAGCTACACATGTAGTAGTAGCTACATATGTAGTAGTAGCTACACATGTAGTAGCTACATATGTAGTAGTAGCTACACATGTAGTAGCTACATATGTAGTAGCTACACATGTAGTAGTAGCTACATATGTAGTAGTAGCTACATATGTAGTAGCTACATATGTAGCTACTACATATGTACATGTGTAGCTACTACTACATATGTAGCTAGTACATGTGTAGCTACTACTACATGTGTAGCTACTACTACATGTGTAGCTACTACATGTGTAGCTACTACTACATGTGTAGCTACTTTTGCTACTGGGATAATCCGGCACTGCAGGGGACAGTGGCTACATATGTAGTAGCTACATATGTAGTAGCTACATATGTAGTAGCTACATATGTAGTAGCTACATATGTAGTAGCTACATATGTAGTAGCTACATATGTAGTAGCTACATATGTAGTAGCTACATATGTAGTAGCTACATATGTAGTAGCTACATATGTAGTAGTAGCTACACATGTAGTAGTAGCTACATATGTAGTAGCTACATATGTAGTAGTAGCTACATATGTAGTAGCTACACATGTAGTAGTAGCTACATATGTAGTAGTAGCTACACATGTAGTAGTAGCTACATATGTAGTAGTAGCTACATATGTAGTAGTAGCTACACATGTAGTAGTAGCTACATATGTAGTAGCTGCTACATATGTAGTAGTAGCTACATATGTAGTAGCTACACATGTAGTAGCTACACATGTAGTAGTTACATATGTAGTAGTAGCTACATATGTAGTAGTAGCTACAC